TAAGGATATCTTTTAATTGGCTTTACAGAATTACAAATTCTTGTACACGATTAAAGTTCGCACAAAAATGAAAGTCAGCCTACTCGACTTTATATAAAAAACGAAAAAAAACTAAATATTCCATTAATTTTTGGCATGTAGAGCTGTCACATGACGATAATATTTGCTTAATACAAAAGTTCTATAGCTTATATCTACAAAATGAGACCGGAGTGACCTAGAGACAACAAGCAAGAACAATATCGTGTAATTGGAACTAAGATTAAAAGTCTAGAAAAAAAGATAGGTTTAAATAAAAGTTTATAAATACAAATACAGCTGTAGAATGATAAGTAGAGCAATATTGCGTGTAGTAATAGATGTCGGATCGAATAGATGCCAATACGCATGCCAATACAAGAATTTACAATTCTGTAAAGCCAATTAAAAGATATCCTTATATAAAAAATGTCGGTAAAACAGAGAGACTCCAGCATCCCCTTAATCTGATATTTTTATAATACAGATAATCTCAATATTTAGCACTCGATTTAGCACAAGCTCGAGCACAAGACTCACTCTCTCTCTCTATTATACTGACATATTACCACGTATTGCCTCATGTACTGCTATCTATTGCTAAGTATTGCTAACGTATTGCCATCTATTGCGAAGTATTGCTAATGTATTGCCATATATTGCTGTGTATTACTAGCATATTGCTAGTATTGCCTTTTATTACTGTACTGCCGCAATACATTTCTAAACAAATGTACAATGATTGCCACAGTGGTTGACCCCTCGGACCGGAGGTAATGTTTCATCAACATGTTACCAAGTGGGTCCGAATGTTTAAGGAAGGCCGAACTGGCATCTTCGACGAAGAAAGGAGTGGGAGACCGTCTGTCATTTCAGACGAGCTTGTGCAGAAGATTGATGAAAAAGTTCGCACAGATCGTCGTGTGATCCTTGTCCTTACTGAAAATTTCCCTGACATTTCACGAAGTCTCCTGGGTGAAATCGTTTCAGAAAGACTCGGCTACTGACAGACGGTCTCCCACTCCTTTCTTCGTCGAAAATGTCAGCTCGGCCTTCCTTAAACATTCGGACCCACTTGGTAACATGTTGACGAGACATTACCTCCGGTTCATAGGTTTCCACAAGCTGTCGATGGATGTTCGCCGCGGTTTCATGACGCAAAGTGAGAAAGCGGATGACTGCAGCGAATCTCACACTGTCGGTAGGTGGAGCAAACGGCCGACGAACTCGTTGACGGTTTTGGTTGTTGTGACGACATTTCGCAACGTACTGAACGGCCGGACCGCTTGTTTTGTTCGTTAGGAATTGCTCTACACGCCAGATGTGCTAACTTTGGGGAAAAAAATTCCCTACGTCCTACAGAGCTCTTGTAACCTTACTTTCTGGACGTACCTCGTAAAATAAAAAAATTTAATACTCACTTATTAAAAGTTTGCAGATATTTAAATTACAAAAAGCTTTTTTCATTTTTCTCCCAAAAAAGCTATATTTGTCAGCAACGTCATTGGTTAATACCATAGATAATGCTCTTCTTATAAATTCGTGTATGTTACTACCTCCAAGTTGTTTTAATTCATTTATCTGAAATATAAACATTGTTTGCAGTCTGAACATTAAAAAGAAAATAACAATATTTTGCAGACAAAATTTCTTAAATGTTAGAAAAAACGAATTGTTCAATGTATATTTTATGTAAATATTTTGTAGTTAGTTATCCAGGTAGCCAAACCTACGCAAAGATTAAGCCTGCTACAAATTGTTGACAAGAGAAGGGCAACAAATCACACAGGATCTGTTCTATCTAATTATGTAACTAAAATGGTGCCAGAAATGTGACTAAGGGCCACATTCACCAAGCTCAGGTAAAATTAATTGCTCTAATAATTCGCTGAGTCACTAACTTCAAGGTTATCGAAATTTCCAACTTCTCCATAGAAAAGTTGGAAATTTCGATAACCTGGAAGTTGATAACTACAGATTACTAGAACAATTAATTTAAATTCTGAGTTTGGTGAATGTGGCCCTAAGGTCCGACTGCACCAACGCGAGTTAAATCGGTCGATTAAATTCTGCTTCTCCATTTAAACTGTCCAATCGCATCATCGTTAGACCAGGGCTGGCAAGCGAAGTCACAAAACGTGAGTCCTTGAACAAAAACACGATATAGATAATATCATTTCGACTGTTTTCAGAGCATATAGGCCTTTCTCGGAGATGTAAGACAAGCGATCTCAAGAACGATAACAGCTAAAAATCGTATGGAATACTAGCGCATGTTGCATCGCGCATTGTGAGGTATTGTTCAGAATAGTACTATTTATTATTATCAGTTATTTTTATCTGTATGATATGTTGATAATAATAATAAATAGTACTACTCTGAAAAGTGCCTCACAACGCGCGGGGCAACATGCGTTAGTACCCTGTACGAATTTTAGCTGGTATCGTTCCTGAGATCCTCCGTCTTACGTCTCCAAGAGGGTCTTGTATGCTCTGAAAACAGTCGAAATAATATTAGCTAAATCGCGTTTTCGTTCAAAGACGCACGTTTTGTAACTTCGCCTGTCAGCCTTGTCGTTAGATAGATGAGATTGGTCAGTTCCAACGGAAGGGCTTAATTTAATGACCGATTTCATTAACTCACATTAGTGCAATCAAGTCAAAGCCTACTGATAGACAATCCGAGCAGAGCCTCTGTAACGATGTGACGACAGATTAGCGGCAGAGACGGAGTAGATCCTGCTGCGCGCAATTTAGTGGCAGCGTCAAGCGTCGAGCTGTAGCGACGAGGCGATCATGAGTGTTGAACAAATCAGCATCAACCAATCACCTCTCTATTCTCTAACCGTTTCAAGTGCAACGACTTTTCTACTAAAGTTAAATATATTGATTACTTCAACAAACTCTTGGCGTAAGAACGTTATTAAATGCTCAAACTCCACAGAGCGTCAAAGCGTCTAACCAGTTAGGAGCCCGATTCTCGACGTAGTGTACGTGAATGACATGCACATGTGATAATCTATAGTATATGTAACGTAAACTGTAGGATTTTCGCATGCGTATCTCATTTGTATGACGTTGGGAATCGGGCCCAAGAGTTCTTCGTTTCTATCCCCGGGAGGAGAAATGAAAAATCGATTAGTTGAACGCTTTGACGCTCCCATGCATTGGCACCTTAATAGTAATACAGTTGATGTGAGTTTGAAGCAATGCTATAATTGAATCTGCTGTCAGTCTGTCGATATACTGATGACATTTTACAATAAGGGCACATATAAAAATACAAAAATGCTAAATGCTATAATATTCTCGTTTTTAAACTAAACTTTAATTACCGCGTTAGTCATTTCGCTATTGTCCTCCAGAATTAGTTCCACTGTATCAAGATCCTCTTCAGTCCTGAGTGGAAAATATAATTCGTCTCTGCTAAATATTGTAACTGTTTTCTCTTTTATATTAGTATTTGTATGTTGAGAGATATTTTGTAATTGTAACTTTATTTGCTTTATTTCCGATAGTACGTCAGTAACCACACTTCGTATCAAATAATTGTTGGTCAGTAAAGTGTTAGCAGTCTTTTCTATAAAAAAAACAAGAAGAGATAGTTATTGACTTCTCTCAAAAAAGTTTTTTATCGTCTTGAACAAAAGAAGTCCTATACTATTTTAGCGTAATTAATTTATGCGTGCAATAAACCACGCAAATTTAGAATCATTACTTATTGAAAATGGTCACTTTTATCAACTTTTTAAATCAATATTTCAAAACTTTGCGTACTTGTTTACAAAATTGTATAGAAAACTTTGTTCAGGATGTATAAATCAACATGTATATCTTATATCATAAACATCTTCTCAAACATCCTACATATACATGTATTATAGTCATTAATTTATTACCATTAAGTTTTCTGTAACAACAGCTGCAAGTTGAATTGCACGGAATACCTATAAAAAGAATTCATATACATATATTTACTATAATAATAAATGAAACAAAACATAATTTAAATATGAAATAAAAATATATAATAAAACAACCAATTAATATTGGAAAGCATACTATTATCTGTATTTAATGATGTAGACTGATTTGCTAAAAGATTATCAGCTGATGTTGAATATTGTTGAATATTCTCATTGTCTGTGTTATTCTTCTTTTTTAATTTTGGTGGCTGTGGTAATGCTGACATTCCCAAGCTTTTCTCTGACGAAGATGAAGACAATATTTTTTGAATTCTTTGTCTTTTAGCATTTTCTTCTATTTCTGAATTTAAATCACTGGTTACTTCAGCAGTACGTGCCTTGGCACGTGCTTTTGAATAATCATCTAAAAATTTATTAAATTGTATTAGCTGTTTTTTGCGTCAATTTTAGATTATTATGTCATAACTAATAAATATATTTTTACCTTCGATATAAAAACTTACCAAAAGTAGAATTTCTAAAACTTCTTATTTCATAGCTAGGCCAGCATGTATTTAGAGGTTCATGTTTTCTAATAGCAGTCATTAATTTGTCCCGCGAATATGTAGGCCACAAACAAGTCTGTCCTTGTATCCAAGTTGAGGGCACCGCTTCCACGGAATTGTCTTCTTCAAATTGAACGATAGTCCATGTTCGTTCAGACATTTTCTTTTCGCATCATATAATATAGACCAATAAACAAGCCACCAATAATATTTCAATACCAACTTAAATACTAAACAAAAAATAAAAGGAAAAGAATAACTGCCCAGTCATTCCATTGTTTATTATCAACTCTAGGTAATGTAGCATGATTTATATGTATACATACCTGTAGAAAACAAAAATAAAGCATTTTATTAGGCTGGGTCTATATTATGTGTTTTAAGTCCTAAGCTCTAAGAATTGGCCAATCACAATCGACTATTACAAGAAAAATCGTCGATGATTGACTAATTCTTAGAGCATAAGACTAAAACACCTAATGTAGACCCAGCCTTAGACTTAACTCTTCATCATAATAAATTTTGGAAATTGTCTTAGAAGGAAATGTTTTTTTAAGACAAACCCCATTAAAAAGAGATACTGATGCTCTTGAATATAATAATACTAACAATTAATGTGTGTTTATATGTATTTGTGGAAACGTAACACGCTTATTGTTCCAATGTAATATAACACATTTAAATAAAACATCTGCTACATTAAACATTTGAAGAGGACCAACATTGTCAACCAAAAAGATATCAATTTCTTTTGATTCGCATGGAAGCACATAGAAATTTTCAACTGTCAGGAATTTTCGTCCTATTAATTTAAAATCACCATTTAAGTCGATAATATTTTCTATTATAATTATATCACGACTGGCAAGGGTACAACAATTATTCGGATGATTTATATGCAGTACAAAATTGTGAAAAATAATTTTTTTAAATTGTTTACACATGTTTCTATTGATAGTGGGACCATTGGTGTGTTCCTTTTCACACATAGGATATTTTTTATTTTTGACTTTTATCGTTCGAGGTAAATGAGAATTTTGTTCGCTTTTCCTTTTAATTATCTGAGCTAACGGTTTTTCACCTTTGCGAATGGACTTCAAAATCGACTGCAAATAATTTTCGAATGGAAACGCGGCAAAATCATCTAATGGCCCATAAACTTTTACATCTTCAGAAAGATGTAATAAACCATGTACATTGTGAGATACATGTTCTGCTCCATATAAAATTTTAAATGTCTTTACAAAATACAGAAGAAGATCAGAAGCATAATCAATCAAATGTGAATATCTCGAACAAGCTAATATTGTGATTGCAACATGTAAACTCAGGAAGTTTGCGTATCTTTCATTATTTAATATTCTTCGAAGAACTACAGGACCAGTGTACATCAGAAATTGTCTAAACTCTGTAGCTTTCCATCTTTTTGCTTCAGATAATGATCGGGGTTTACGGTTAAATTCCATTGGCATATTTTTAACTTGATTAATTAGATTTGAAGATATGTTTGTAATGTCTTGATACGGTAATTTAACGGAAGGTTTTCCACAACACCATAAATTTACTACTAATTTTTTGACGACTCCAAGGCAAACTAAGTGCATATAATCCAAGGGAAAACATTTAATCATATCGATGCCAGGGATCTGCTCTAATAAGCTAGTGCCAGTGTGATGATCTTCTTGAACCTTTGATCTGTAATCAGTATCGGTTCTCAAACGTATATTATTTGTATTTGGAAAGCATATACGGGTATTAACATAAGTACCTTCCTCAAAGCATTTCGTGCATGAACAGTAACCCATATGACCGATTGTGTAAGTATTGGAAGTAATTCCCGTGGACGGCTTCCGTGCGCAGTAAGATGGGCAGTATAAATGATAACACGAGTTTCTTTGTAAACTCTATATATATATATATATCTCGTACACTGTACACACACTATACA